CAGTGGTAATGGGACATGGAAATTGGCATAATTAAGTAATGACTTAGTCGTGATATCAAAAGAAAGCTGTTCCTAAAAATACTGACATTTCCCGTGGATGTCTAGGAAGTTTAACAGAAAAATATGGTATAATAAAGTATTTTTATAATGATTGGCATTTGCAAAAATGCCACGCTTGAAACCTGCATAAGGTTTCATATATGTCGTAATACTTCTGTAGGCCTCAGTTGCCATAGGAACAGCTTTGAGGTGCTAAGTATTTTCCTAGCATCAGTACTTTACCATCTATTTCCTCCTGCAAACATCATTCTCAGCAGCAGACAAAAAGGGTAAGTAGCAGCAATGAAAAATGGTAGAACTATAAAGTAGGAACACAGTATATGAAAACATCTACTCGCAGGGTGGACAGAATCACCAAGGAAAGCAATTTTGGGGTTTAGTGCAGTGAAACAAAATAATAGTACCACACTGAACCACTGCTGCAGTTTTAATGCCATATGGTAAAATACAAAGTACTTGCTAATGTTTTTAAGTTACACACAGTACTTGACATAAAACTAGATTGGAAGCAATTGTGCATGAAAGATAATACAACACCACAGATTCAGGGATTCTTTTCAAGATCAGTAAACAAAAAAGGCCATAAGTGATGCCATTTTTAGTCTTCTTCAGTTTCTATGGCTACTGAAAACCATTAGAAATTGAATAATGCATTAGATGAGAATTAGAAATTGAATGATGCACGTTTAACATGCCAAATGAGTGAAAGCATAAATACCAGTTTACTTCTGAACATTATTCTAGGTTCTTGTACTTGAGTTTCCTTTACATGAGCTCAAGATGAAGTAGAACATAATTACCTGTTACTTAAGAAGATTAATTGTTAAGAAGACAGACTGAAAGATGTGCAGCACCAGGAAAAGTTAACAGGCATGAAAATACTGGTTTATATTTAAGCTCAACCTTGATAGGTTTATGATCAGCTGTTAAGATTCAATACAGTTACCCGAATATAGGCATCTTGTGTAACTCCACATGAACCAAAGGCTATCCGCCCTTGTCTCTACCTATTCCAATCGCAAGGATGTAGGTCTCCCGCGGATTTTGTTATCAGTTCTGATGGGTAGCTGATACCCCAGATCTTCTCAAATAGCATCAGGCACCCAAGTTAGGCAACTTAGTTGCTCTCTTTGTGACTGAAATAGCCTTCAGGCTACTAGAACGACAGCTAAAGAAGTTCCACGGCTATGCTCAGGTGGCAGATAATGAACTAAAGGCATTATGCTGGGACATGCAGATTTCTTTGAGAAATTAGCAGGAAATGAATGGAAAAGTTCATCTGGGAAGGGAACACGAGAAAAACAGTTTGGGAAATGATGCATTAAACAAACAAAAAAAAGGGGGGGGGCACAGGTTTTATGTTCTGATAAGATCAAGATGACTGATGTAACCTGCTTGCCTCTTGACATATCAGATCATACTGGTACAACTTACATGCACTGGAATCATTATCTGGCACAGGATACTGGAAAGTATTCAATATCTAAGTACTTCTGCAGGCAAAGCTCTTTCCTCCTAACAGGCCTTATACCTTGGCTTTCTGTGTATTCCTCTTCTAAACACAGGCTTTGTTTCATAAGGTGCTATTCAAGCCACACTCAGACTTTGTTGAACATGTGCATTTTTCACTTTATAGGAGCACATACAGTGTTTCCTACAGCAAGAAAAGCCATAATATGTAATTAATTGCTTGCTTAAATTAAGTCAATTTGATCTTTTCTGGTTTGGCTCTGCTGTTTGCTACATCTGCTCTTCTTCCTGCAAGGCCAGCGTCCACTGTTTCCCTCACAGAGGCTCAGCTCCATCCTCTATGCCTGGAAAGGCTTCACCTCCACTGGCCTTATTTGTGCCTTTGTCATCCCTGAAATGGCAACCACGCCGGCGTCACAGCCACACCTGGTGGGTTCTGCCAGTTATATTGTGTTTAATTCCAGGCAGATAGCATGCTTCTCTGAAGCTTCTTTAGATCACACCTACAAGCAGAAACCAAAAGCTGTTCCTTCAACTGTAAATATGAACTTGCAACAATTATGCTTTAAGAAAAGTCTCTCACATCTAGTGCATCTCCGCTTTTTATGATTTTCACCTTACTGAAAACTTGGCATAAATCCAGCAGCACATTTATATAAGTATCCAATTAAGTTGGTATAAATGTCGCTAAATCTGTTTCCTTTTATCTATGTAGGAGACAGGAATGACTTTATGTCAGATGATTTAATTCAATTAAGACACTGTGTGAACACCAAAATCACCTTTATCATGCATCAGTGTCAAAAACAAATTAAGAGTGATAGGCAGTGTAGTGCCTTGCCAAGTGAAGGTACTCCGAGAGTCTTGAAATGTAACAGGGTCCAAAGGTAGTGCATTGCGTTCCTTCAATTTGCCAGGCTGTTACTTCCTTTCATTTTGGTTTTGAGTCTTCAGCAGTTTGATTCTCTTCTCCCTCTGATGCCATGTAAAGTTGTCCCAGGTTTTATCTGATTTCTTTTCTTTCGTTACACAAACAGTATGTGAGGATGGATGCTAAATGTTCTCTCAACAACTTTAGTCAGGACAGAAAAAAAGAAGGCCTTCATTGGAGGCTTTGCTGTAAAGTGTGAGTGCACCAGAGAGTTTTCATTTTCAAATGAGTGATACTTCATTTGAATCATTTATTGAGGTATCCAGATAAATGAGCATATAGCCTGCTGAGCTGTCTTATGGGCTTCTAGCTGCAATAATGTGATTAGTTTTATTGCTGCAGATAGAAGAGACTTATTTGACCCTTGTATTCACATTTCTTTCATCTAAAATATTCCAGAATGCTGATTAACAGGGATAGCAGTAGTGAGCATGGAGGAAAAAGCCACAGATGTAAAGCAACACAAGCGCTTTGTCCAGTTGCTTTTGTCTAGGATGTGTTTAAATAAAGAAATGCATTCTGTACAGAAAGACATGTACACAGCTTGGCAGAGGTTTTATAGCTGAACTTGAACTACTCCCCAGCTACAAAGAAGAGTCCCAAACAAATCTGTTAAAAGCTCCTTTTGCACTTCTTTGCACCAAAATAAATTTCTAGGAGTGCATCTAAGAAACCCATTGTATTAACATTTTTGCCAGTGTTTACTGTGAGAATTAACTAATTCCATCATGCAGCCTGAACTACAGTGTTCTGTGTTTTAATATTTTTGTTATTATAATTATTATTTTCTGAATATAATTATGCTGGCCTCCAAAAAGGGATTAGGCAATTTTCCCTGTTTAAAGGGAATGACGAAATGTTGTAAGTATTTGAAGCTCAAGGAGCTTCTGAAAAGATTTATAGAACTTACTGCTATAACTGTCCAGCCCTGGAGAGCTGCCACTTGGAAGGGCCCTCCTAAGACTTTGAACTTAATTTGTCAGCATCATCTCTTTAAAATGTAATCTGCAGCACTTCAGCTGTCTCCCCAAAACTGTAACACCAATGCACTGGTAAACCAGGACAGATCTGTGTGAGTACAGGATCCTAGGAGTCTATTATAAAGTGAAAACCTCATATGCCATAATCATCTTCTATTGCTCCCTCACTGCCTGTTATTGGCACAAGGCAGTCAGAGAGCAAGGGCTTTGTGGTTCTTTTATGCCCCAATAATCTTGGCTACCAAAATAGCCCTTTTGAGACTGCTGGCATCTATGCTAGCCTGCAAGCTTTCTGCTATACAGCGGCCCCAATAGGGTTCCACTACTGGGAGAAAATAAAGTTGGCTTAAAGCTGGTTTTGCATAGCCTGGGTGCTGCACTGAACCCTCTCCACCACGCTGATGATTCAAGCTTGCTTTTGTGTTGAAAAGTTTATGCAGAAATATCAGGATTGTGTTTTTACATAGTGAGCTTTTATTATTTTGTTCCTGCTCCGGTTGAAAGCCTAATGGTAAGGAAGATAGCATCTGTGAAATGTGTATTATTGTGTAGTACACATAGGCCAAAGTATTACCGATGTAAGCTCCAAATTCAAGATGCTGTTGTTTGGTGTATTAAGAAGTTACTAATCTTCATGGTGTCAAGTGACAATTGAATTTGCTTAGCTAAAGAGCACTACTGATCAGCTGTCACTGAAGCAACACATTGCTTTTTAAGACAGAAATCCTTGGCTAACATATTCATCTTCTTTGTCAAGAAAAATGCCTGCATATTGTGCCATCCACAGAACCTAATGCACAATTATGCATAACTTGATGCATAACCTTCTAGCACAATTAGAAGGGCTTCTAAGACAACCAGCCTTTGACATTAACAGCTTAAACTACCTACTCTCGACTGATGCATGGTTTAAATAAATCATAGCTATGTCACACACTAAATATCTGGAGTCTGTTTCTCTCTTAGTAAACCAAAATCTATTCTAGATGCAAGTTGCTGAATTTTTAGCAACAAATAAAAGCTTTAACCAGGCTTAATTTAACTGCCTCTGGGTATTGACCAAGTCATCTTACACTAGAATAGAAATGAATGCCTTATATACTTGTATGTTGAGATTTCTCTCATTTGATTGTTAACACAGTATTTAAGATTTTCTCCAAGAAATACTCCTTGAGTGAAATCCTGGTCCCAATTAATGTAATGGCAAACCTCCCACTGACATTTGTGGCACTGAGATTTAACTCATAGTCTGAAAGGTGAGAGTAGCTCTTGAATTCATTGGACAGAAACCTGATATCCAACAGGAAGAGCATATATTAAATAGATAATCAGTTTATTTCTAGCCTTTATGCCAACAAACGAGTAATAACATGTTAATATCTTTTGCAATGACACAAGGAAAGCAATTACTCCCTGTAAGTAATACAAGCCAGTATTTGTCCCACCCATTTTTTTCTATATTCAGAATGATAGTCTATATTCTGAAGTATTTAATTTACTTCTTGAACTAAGATAACAGTCGCTGCTTCTTAGAAAAAGAAATCCATGTATTATACGTTTAGATAATGGCATTCATATATAACGTGCAGAATCCTAAACACAAAATTAAGTAGGATGTTTGATTTTATTATGTACATATACACACTACTTAAAAAGATTTATCTGCATTTATGAATACTTTACAGATTACTTTTAGAGTTCAAATTATAGAACAATTGATCTGTTGCCAACTAATAATTAAATAAAACACAAAACAAGATTTGTAAACAGTTTTAAAATCGACTATAGAGATCTCGGGAGACACTTCATTATCTTTTGAATATTACATGTGCTTTTCTCATGGCATGGTCTGTCAAAGCATCAAGGAGACAAGAGTTTTTTCCCCAGATTCACAGTGCAATAAGCAGCATAAAAGCAGTTAGCCAGCCACCTACAAGTACATATAGACAGAATTACCTGTGGTGAACTCAGAGGGGAGAGCACATGCTGCAGGGAAGCAGAGCTTGGAGGCAGCAGAGACAGGCAAGTTGTGTGCATCTGATTTGCTAGCTCAGTGTCCCGGTACATGAGGCTGGCTGTTAATAAAGAGACAGTTCAATTTTAGGAACAGGGAATCCTCTTGTGCTGATGTGTACCAGGCAGTACATGAACCAGGGCAGTCAGAGAATTGTTTCAAGTGTCCATTAGTTTCTTCACCAGGTGAGCTGGCAAGAGGAGCTCATGGACACAGAAGGGGCTGCCTAGTTATAAAAAAGATATGTGCTTTGAAGCTAAAAAAAGTTAAGTTCCTCAGAAGCTTTTCCATCCAGAAGGATAGGGTCCAAGTAAGCGTTAGGCCTGCCTACCTTTCAAGTGAGACATTGTCTCATCTCACCTCAACATTTTCCTCCTCAAGTGCTCTGTTCCTACCAGTAAGTCATATTTCGCTTGGGAGAAGCCTTCCTCAGTCACTGTGCTTACCTTCTAGGGCCCAGCTGCTGAAGGGCAGTCTCTGGCAAATGTCAGATCCAGTTGGACCTGCTGCGGAGCAGTGGCTGAGTGCTGGAGGATCCAGGGCTGCAGGTGGGAGAAGATAGCATCTCCACGTGGGGACCAAGGGAGGGACAGAAGGCACCGCCACGGCAGAGAGGGTGTGTGGGACAGGCCAGCAAGGCAACCCAGGGTGGCTCCGCTCCTAGGTATGCAAATAGCTGCTTTTACACAGCTGCTATTCACAGCACCTTTCACACAGAGCTGTCTTCTTCTGAAGCCAGGCTAAGGTGGCAGTGGTGATCCTTAAAGAAAAAAGGAATTAAAAAGAGCTCCAGATAGGTGAGCTGTACCAGAACAACTAACCCTTCTGTAATGAGCATACCCTCAGCTGATAACCACAGGAAACAGGACAGGGAGTGTTTAAATAGTCCTGGTCTCATTCTTCAACGTTATGCTATAAATCAGATTTCCACGGAAAGGAGCTTTTCAGGAGTACACTGCTTCCTTGTTTAATCTTAATATTAAAGCTTAGCCATAGAAATTTGAGTTATGTCAAAGCTTACTCCAACTTCCATCCCTGAATGAAAATGGAAAATTAAGTTTTATTGCTGTTTATACATAATGAATGACATGGCTACCAAAATTTTTCAAAGATCCGTGGTCAAATAAGGCATGTAAAGAGCAAGTGCCTTGAATTAAGGTATGTCCTGATGCACTGATGTTAACGGTAAGATTGCTATTTACATGAGTGAAAAAGATATCACTCCATTTGCCATACAATTTCCCGTTCTAGGTAGGGCTGGACCAAGAATTGGTCCAGGGCTATTCAATCTGGTTACCTTAGATTTGCATTCAGAAGGTCCTTTCTCATTGGAGCAACAGGTAAAGGTTTACCAGGGAGAAGCCAGGAAGCTTTCCAGTCTCCTACACCACCAACCCCCACCTGCTCCTCTTTGCTGCCCCATCTCTTAGCAACTTCATGGCTCATACTGCCAAATCACTTCCCTGTAAAGCCTCTTCCAAGTAAATCTGGCATGTATTCAGCCCTGAAGGGAAAGGCAGGGCACTGGATAGTAGTTAACACTGGACAAAATATTATTTTTTTTTAAATAACAACAACAAAAAAAGCACTCCCTGTAGTTATAACAAACAGTCTCTGCACTTGCTTGTCTTTTCTAAGCCTGAAAGCTGGAAAATCCTTCCCATTTTGGAGACTCCCATAGCAACTAGATGATCTTAAGGTCCTTTCCAAACCTAACTATTCTATGATTCTACAATTCTATGTGTGTGTGCGCATTTGTGTTCACTTTCAAAAGAGCTCACTGTTTTCTCTCCACATCATGATTAACCAGTGACTTCTACTCATTTTGTCTTCCTCTGAGCTCACAAACATGGTGAATCAGTGACATAATTTCAAGATGGAGCCTCCTTTTTCTGAAAGGACTGCACAGAGAACAACTCGTATTGTGTTGTTTTTCTGTTTAACTTTCCAATAACTTCCTCTTAAGGAAGATCTTATGTTTCCTTACTATTAGTATACAGTCACAAGCACACATAATGGTGTATTGCTATCTTTAGAAGATGACAGCTACATGTTGCTTTAATGACACATATGTAATTGCTCTCAGTCAGGATCATTGACCACTACATTCTCAGAACTATTGCAAATTCATTTGTTACTCACATGAAATAGGAGAAGTAAAGGGATGGTGTGAATATAGGCATAATCTTTGTGGCCAGGCAGGAAAGGCCCAAGAGCGATTCTATTTGGGACACACACACAGGGTGCATTGATTTTCTAACATGGCACTGGAAAGCCGTTCCAACAGACTTGAAACTGTGGCCTAAGCTGTAAAGGAAAGAGCAAGCTTCTCAAATATCCTTTATAATTTTTAATTAACTCAAATAAATCACTTAAATAGCATCATATAGAGGAAATATCACCCTTATATATAAGGTGAGTTTCCTCAGCTTGCATTACAATAGCATTTGTGAGTCCATATGAATAACTGGTGCAATAGAAAAAAATGTGCCAGACTGAATTTATAGAATATAAAGCAGATAAAACCTTTATGTTAGCTTTTAAGTAAAAAAAAGTGATTTCGGCAGTCCTGTTGATGTTAAGAATCAAGGTTATGAACAACAAAGGACAGAATGAGTAAAATAGGTTTGTGGTGTGAATCACACCACTGAGGTAACACTAAGAGGAAGCAAAGATGATACATTTATCATCATAATGTGCAATTCATGACTCACCCAAATGCAAAAATATGAAGTATGTGAATGATCAGGCAATGAAGATAGGTGTTGAGGGAGGGACAATGGAAAATGTTATTAAGCTTATAAAAACGACTTGACCTATTCATTATTTTGAAGATAATCTGTCGTTTTTCCAATTATCCTAAAAATAACCAGTTTTTTTTTTTTTATGAAAGACAATTCCAACGATTTGGATGATAGTCAAATATGCTTGAATGACAGTCTGCATAAAATGATTTAAGGCTTTATTTGGCACATACTTTTCATGTGAATCAGCCAGCTGGTACTTTTTATGATTCTTCACTTCCATGCTTGTAGGGGCCTTAAATCCAATCTTTAGGGTTCAAAAATTAGAGGAAGAGTGACAGCTGTAACATCTAAAGCCTCAAGCCAAACATGTAAACATTTTCTCTATGAGATCATTTTGGAGATTGCAGTCTCTGTTGATTTGGATTTTGTTGTAACTTTGGTTTATGCATAAGATACAAATTGCCAAGTTAAAAGGTCAATTGCATGGATAACATACAACGATGGATAGTTGTTTGGTACTGCCAAGTCTGATTTTTTTTTGGTTTCATGTTTACTGCTGGCATTGCGGTTTTCACCATCTCCCTTTTTCAATCTTCCTTTGGCTTCCTCCAGTCCAGCAGAGCAGGACAATCAAAGATCCATCTGACCAAATGTATCTCGATTGGGGCTATCAGCTGTTGAGCCAGTTATCTGGGCTACTAGTCAGTGGAAGAAAGAGGGTGCTCCAAGATTTAAGTATTTTCATTCAAAGGTAAGAATCTAAAATGTATGGGATGAATCATGTCTCCAAGCACCTGTTTGTTTTCTACTGTAAGGCAGAAGCAGAGGCTGGCTCAGGGGTTCATTTCTGAAGTCATGAGAGACAAGTTCCACCCTGAAAGTCTGATCTGAGACTGAGTAACTCAGAAAAAAGTACAGAGGAAGGACACAGCAAGCACATCTCATGGTTACAGGGCATGACGTGGATTTGATAGGTCTTATTCACCTGCCTGTCTCCTCAGATGTTTAAAAAACAAAGCTAAAGATACTGACAGACAGTGGCAGGAAGCAGGGAGCTGATAGCAACTGACGTGTGGAAATGCAAAGCAAGATGAATGACCTGGTGAATTATAGACCAGTCAGTCTCACCTCTGTGCCTGCCAAAATCTGGGAGCAGATTCTCCTGGAAGGCATGCTAAGGCACATGAAAACAACAAGGTGCTTGGTGACAGCCAGCATGGCTTCACTAAGGGGAAATCCTGCCTGAACAATTTGGTGGCCTTCTATGATGGGGCTACAGAACTGATGGACAACGGTAAAGCAGTTGATGTCATCTACCTGGACTTGTGTAAAGCGTTCGACACTGTCCCACACGACATTCTTGTCTCTAAATTGGAGAGACATCAATTTGATGAATGGACCACTCGGTGGATAAAGAACTGGCTGGATGGCCGCACACAAAGAGTTGTGGTCAATGGCTCAATGTTCATCTGGATACCAGTAACAAGTGGTGTCCCTCAGGGATCAGTGTTGAGACCGGTCTTGTTTAACATCTTCATCGCTGACATGGACAGTGGGATTGAGTGCGCCCTCAGCAAGTTTGCCGATGACACCGAGCTGTGTGGTTCGGTTGATACGCTGGAGGGAAGGAATGCCATCCAGAGGGACCTTGACACGCTTGTGAGGTGGGCTGATGCCAACCTCATGAAGTTTAACCATGCCAAGTGCAAGGTCCTACACCTGGGTCGGAGCAATCCCAGACAGAGCTACAGGCTGGGCAGAGAAGAGATTCAGAGCAGCCCTGCAGAGAAGGACTTGGGGTGCTGGTCGATGAGAAAATGAACATGAGCCAGCAGTGTGTGCTTGCAGCCCAGAAAGCCAACTGTATCCTGGGCTGCATCAAAAGGAGCGGGACCAGCAGGTCAAAGGAGGTGATCCTGCCCCTTTATTCTGCTCTCGTGAGACCTCACTTGGAGTATTGCATACAGTTCTGGTGTCCTCAACATAAAAAGGACATGGATCTGTTGGAACAAGTCCAGAGGAGGGCCACGAGGATGATCAGGGGACTGGAGCACCTCCCATATGAAGATAGGCTGAGAAAGTTGGGGCTGTTCAGCCTGGAGAAGAGAAGGCTGCATGGAGACCTCATAGCAGCCTTCCAGTATCTGAAGGGGGCCTATAGGGATGCTGGGGAGGGACTCTTCATTAGGGACTGTAGTGATAGGACAAGAGGTAATGGGTTAAAACTTAAACAGGGGAAGTTTAGATTGTATATAAGGAGGAAGTTCTTTACCTGTTAGGGTGGTGAGGCACTGGAATAGGTTGCCCAGGGAGGTTGTGAATGCGCCATCCCTGGCAGTGTTCAAGGCCAGGTTGGACGAGGCCTTGGGTGATATGGTTTGAGCGAGGTGTCCCTGCCCATGGCAGGGGGGTTGAAACTTGATGATCTTAAGGTCCTTTCCAACCCTAACTATTCTATGATTCTAAGAGATGCTGAGAGAGAAGGTGATGAGGGGCAGAAGATGTAAGGGAAGATCTTATTTGGCTGTTATCATACAGGGGCTAATTCCTGTATTCTGTAATGCAGAATAACACCATGCCATTAAAATATGTCCATTTCTATTTCGAGGATTAGTATTTTCATGAATAATTGTATGATATGGAGGGCCAAGAATAAATGTAATTTTTAAGAAACAGTGGTCTGGGATCTCTTTATCTGAAAACTATACCTGGATAGTATGACAAAAGTCACACTCCTGTGATACTAGGCATGTAAATATTCAAATTGAATGGCTTTTGTAAAAATTAAACTTTCCTATGTATTTCATTTAAAAAAAATAATTGAAAACAGAAATGGCAACACCTTAAATCACAAGAAGATATTAATCCAGCATGCCTCAGGTTTCACTGGAGATTAGAATAAACCACTGCTGAACTCAGCTGAAAACCTTTATAAAATGCTGGATTCTCCATTTAATATGATAATATTTGTATGATGTACTCACTTTTGTTCATTAAAGTGGGAATAATTAATCATTTCAGAGAAAAAAATATTAATTAGGTGCAGTCAGATTAACAATCCAGTAGGGAATAGGGATGAGCTAGACATCCCCAAGTATTTTCTATGCTTCTTTTAGGAAAATACTAATACTAATCAGTACTGTTGGCAGGAATGATAACTACCCTGTTAACTCTTTGGACTGAGAGCTAGGGGGTCTAAATTTAGTTCTGGGTTGTGGCCCAGATATCACATGTAATCTTGTGTGGATCTTTTTAAAAGTGTCCTTTTATTCCTAATTCCTTGATTCCTGAGTCATTTGCCTGAATTTCAGATGTGCTAGGTGCATACAGGTCCTGTTGACTTTAATTGAAACAGCAAGTGTATAACAGTCTTGAAAATGAGCTTCCAAGATGTGTCAGTTTGGTTAATCAGAAGTTAAATGACTCAAAGCTAACAATTGCTTGTAAATGGAGTCTTAGTGACACTGCCTCAGTTTCTTCTTTTGCAAAATGGAGATAACATTTTCCATTAATTACCTAACAAGAAGTCTTCCATAAAATGACTTCACCCTATATATGTTAATGTAAATCTATCAGCTAAAAGTATGGATAAGGAGTGGCTTATAAACATTTGAGATAAGCAATTGCACATTGATTGCTTCATATGGAAACTTATTTCTTCCAGATTTTGGTAATGAAAACAAAGTATGTGTGAAAAATGACTCTGGGGCTCCACTAAATCATTTACCCAGTGTTTGAATACTGTTTCCCATAAAGGAGCAGAAACATTGTCAGCCTTGTGACTACAGTACTGAGGGAGGTGAAAGATAGCATCTCTGGAATGAGACTGGAGAAGTATGACTCATCCCTTTTTTGTCACTTGCCAAGCTTACCTTGACATTTATTTCTTCGCTGGAGTGCAGAACATGTTTACAGAAGTTTACTCCATGCAAATGCATCTGGATTTCCTCTGAACTGTCAGCAGCTTGCACAGCGAGAAGCGAGATTCAGTTTACCTCCTCATGAAATATTCTTTGTTCATGACGGTAAATTAGACGGTACTGTGGGTCTGAATGATGATGGCATACATGGGCAGACTTGTATTTTGGAAACTTCATATCCCAGTGAGAACTCTGTAACTTCCTCCTGTCTGTAAAGGATGAAAAGAAAACTTAGATGTAAGCTGGATCAGACCTATCTGGGTAGCAACTTTTCATCTTAGTCCATGTCTTCAAATGACAAACACTGCAATTCCTGTGAACATTGTGACTGTTACCAAGGTTTATAGGGCTTTTAGTATTTAGGCATTTATGTCTGCACGAGGAGCTGAAACCATGTATTCCTGATCTGTTTCAATGTAAAGCAAAATGCATTTGTTTAAATAAATCATTAGTGATTTGTTCTGTATAAGGAATACACATGCAGTTAGGAATCACCTCTTTGGTAAGTGAGGGTAATTTTTCCCATTTTCTCATTAACTGGAGTGGATATAATGGTAACACCAACCCAAAATTTAGTTTGTTTAATATGGTAATGTATCGGTACAAGCATAACCAGCTTTTGCATGGCTTATGCCTTCCAAACACATGTTCCTAAGGGGTTTACGTGTGTAACTACACAAACATCTTAAATATAGTCAAATTCGTGTAGTTTTTACAGTCTAGACAAACTATCCTGATGCCATAGAAATCAAACCAATTCTGTTTACCTTCATAGGCATTAAATGCAATTGTTGTGTAGTCACAAAAGAGTCACCAGCACAAAACTTAAGTGTCCATAGTCTAAAGCAACTGGAGCTCTAAAATGCTTTCCCGTTTAGACATTTACCAGTATTTGCAGGTATGCTTTTTACTTCAAATATTTTTATCTTGTAATCACATTGTCAAACCAAAACCGTCTATATTATTGCATATGTTATAGAAGAAATAGAATGGGTAATATTTCTCTCATTTAAGCACAATATGGTTCACATGACAGAAGCATGTAGGCATTAAGCAACATCCTTTGCATAAGATTTCCTTGTTGTTATGATGACATCAGACCCATTTTTTCCACAGACTCTTTTATTTAGCAATATTATTTACTCTTGCCTACTTCACATTTATAAAATGAGAGGAAAAAGTAACAATTGTATTCTTGCAGGGGCACTCTTCAGTGGCAGCAGCATTACAGACATACCAGCACCTTTGTAATTAAAAAAATCTGAAGCTACTATAATATGTAATTAAACTGAACCAGCTAATTGTACCCTGGGTTGTATCTCCTCTTATTTGTTGTGTTTGGTAAAGATGATTACATATGTTTAAATAAGTTTTCTATTTTGTACACATCTGTTTGATCTTAATGTTGTATATAATTGACTACATAAGTTGCTCTTTATTTAGTGCTTTTGATTCATTGCCATAAGACAAACTACCCAAATACATAAACAAACGAACCCAAAGAGTTGCGTGAATATTTGATACCTTGACAGGACCTATAAGGACCCTAAGAACATATACTCCAAAAGAGATATGTTTTTCATCTGTGAATACTGGTGTCGGGCTTCTTCATTTTGAAGAGCACCACCATCTTTGAAGAAAATTAAATTTATAATTTGGATTAATTTTTTAATACCCAATGTTTCAACTTTGAGAAATTTAATGGAGAATGATAAGGACCTATTTTAAGGTGTAGAACTTCTTTACAGTAGTAAACAGCTTTTAGGTAAAGTTTGCTCCTATCTCTTTCTGTGCTAATCTTCTCCAGGAATGTACAGACTAATTCATATTGTTGTATGTGAGATCCTTCTCTCACTTTCAGCCATGTGATAAGAAAAGCCATACTACTGGGGAACCAAACAGATCAAGGACTAATTCTCATTTACATTTCCTTCTGCTAGTCAGGATCAAACATCCCCTACAAGCTATGAACCTGCTTACTTAATGGAGCCAAAGTCGTATCTCCTCAGACCATTGCTTGCAATCAATTTCCCAGAGACTTTAAGGGCAACTTTGGGAATCATATTTGACATGAATATTCTCTGACCTCTGTATGCTTTCAAAATGTCCTGTACAAACACAGCAACTGAAGGAACTTTGAGGTGTAAAATGTGGTACTGATACTGCCTTGTATTTTGGGAGTCTTGTGCCCTCATGTAATTTATTTTGTCAATTAGGCCCACTGGAAGTTTCCCACTATGAATCAGAACCTACCTCAAGACAAGACCTCATTTCTCTGACCTAAGTGTACTGTCACCAAACACAGCCCAAGAACCTACATCTTCAACAATGTCCCCTTTCCTTTCATTCAATATTTGACCTAGCAGACACTGAAAAGTTAATGCCTATCCCAGCAGGCATGAGTGCAATGACAGGAACAGTGTAGATAAATGTACCTTTTGGCATTCCCTTTAACCATGCTGAAGCCGTCTTTTTAGGTTCCCTGCAGTCTAAGTGGAGGGTCCTGACTCAGGATGTCACCATAGAGGGTATTTCCAGGCTAGAAATGCTTTTAACCTAGCTAGGAGAATCCAAAAATACAAGGATTCCCCTTTGCACTCTGCCTACCTCTTATAGAATTGCCTTTTCCCAGCAGTTATCAGCAGGACCTTTCTTTACAGGTGTCATCAGTTCTCAGCAACAGTGCTTAACACAGTTTATCATGCCATCAACCTGGGTAGCTTTACTTTGTCCCCCTAACAGCATCAGCCTAGAGCATCAGAGAGCAGCTAATAGACATCATCTCCTCAGCAGAGCACCACCTCCTCCCTTGCATCCACCTAAAGGGCTGTAATTATTAGAAGTGCATTCAAGCGGCTGATTTCACTCAAAGTGATAAAAAAGACATTGGTCTGCCCTAGATCAGAAACTACATCTAAAAAAGACTTAATACTTGTCAGATGGTTTAAGGTCCTAGGAACAATCTATTTTAGAAAAATGTAAGGATTTCCTTAGGCCAGATACAGCATGTTTCTCTGGTCAGATGTAGGCTAGGGATCCGGCTACAACTGCTGGCTAGTTGTAAGAATCAGCCTTTTCTGGGGAGAGGGTCTCTAGAATGGCTGGACTGGATCTGGGGTAAACCACTTTTACATCATTCCTTATGTCTATTCTAGACCAGATAATCATACCAAAGCCTTACTATTCTGGTAGTTGACTAGCCTGTGCTTGCTTCCCACAACAAGCAAGCTGTATGATAACAGTGTATTTTCTTTTGAGTTAGCTTAGTTGGTGCCTTCCCTGGGATCAGAAAACTGCATATTAGACTTCATAATTTCTTGCTAGAAAGAAAAATGTTGAAAGGGTGTTTATTAAAGTCCTATTATTCATTTGATTGGTTCATTTTTATAAAGTAATAGATGGCTGATCATGCTCTATTTATACCCCACATGAACTGTATTACTCCACAAATAGTCTCATTGAAGTGACAGACATCCTTGCAATATGGAAACCCTTGCAGAATACAGATACTGTCTTCTCAGTTGTTAAGAAGGCAGTAATCAAGAGAGAATAATTGAACTTGATGTGGGTGAAAAGAAAGACACAGAAAGCCAAATGAAAATTTCCAGCTGCACTATGGATTTGAAGATTGGACTATATTCCACAGATCTCTTGAATACCACTTAGAAAAAAAGCTGTGAACTACAGATGCTCTACTAATTTTAGGTTTGGGTCTACAAGCACTCTAGAAAGGTAAATGAAGTTCCAATACAGTACATATTTCTTGCTTTATCACTGGTACAAGATAAACACATGTTAAAAATAAAGATCAGTACTTATTATCTTATTTTAAAGTTCAATATTTGATAACATTTATTCTATGTAATAGTATTCATTCTTTGTGCAGTGAAAAGAGCTGCCAGTGGGATTCATTACCTCCCTATTTAACTGCTGTTATCTAAAATTCTAGTCATGTGTAGAAAATCTGATCCAAATGCAAGCACATGAAATAGATGTAGAAATGTTAATTAAAACCTAAGCTATAGCCATTCTCTATTTTTTTATGTATCAAAAGCTTTGAAAACAATGCTGTCCTGATGAAATCCTCTAATTAGTAGTATATAATAGCAACTACTTTTAGAAATCTTTTTCTTTCTAAACTATCACTTGGCTTAATACCTATCGTTAATTGTCTCCTACAATCCATTGACCTTATTAATGTAACAGTAAGAATATATGCTATCCATTGCTGGTTTTAATTGCGGTGGAGCTAAAACACTGTCAGTTGTGTTGCTGTTCCACTGGGGTGAACAACACACAATGATGTTGCATTTTCACAGGTTGAAATCAATACCATAATGACATAACATCACCTTCACAGTTCCCAAGCAGAGCAAGGTTGAGCTGAGCCTGTGCTCCAAGAAAAATACACAGTGCTATGGAAAGCAGAGTTGGTGTATATTAGACCCTTCCTTCTGACTCATTATGAAACAGATTTCCCAGCCAGTTGCTAGGAGGCAGTGTATAGTGTGGGACTTCTCTTCTGATGAACCTGCTATGTATTCCCTACTCTGAATTTTTGTGTAGCCTGTTAACCACTTGCCAGCTATTATCCCAGAACTGGGAGAGCAAAGTGATGCCTAATTAGGAAATGTACTGCTTTAACTATGACTGTGGGCATCATGAAGTCTTAAAAGAGGTAGTTGGAGATAAAATGGAGAAAACATAGGAGCAGGTAGTTTTATCCCATTGTCGCGGTTTAAGCCCAACCAGTAACTCAGAACCACGTAGCTGCTCGCTCACTCCTCTCCCCTCCTCCCCCTGCTCCTGGAGGGATGGGGAGGAGAATCAAGAGAATGTAACTCCCATGAGTTGAGATAAGAACAGCCCAGTAACTAAGGTATAACACAAACCACTGCTGCTACCACCAATAATAACAATGGTAAGGGAAATAACAAGGGAAGAGAATACAACTACTCACTACCCGCCAACCAATACCCAGCTCAACCCGAGCAGTGATCTAACCCTTCCGGATAACTGCCCCCAGTTTATACAGTGAGCATGACGTGCTGTGGTATGGAATATCTCTTTGGTCAGTTTGGGTCAGGTGTCCTATCTCTGCTTCCTCCCAGCTTCCCCTCCTCCCTGGCAGAGCATGAGGCTAAGAAAGTCCTTGGTCAGAGTAAACATTACTGAGCAGAAACTAATTACATCGGTGT